GACATTTTCTTGGAATTCTTTAACTTTTCCAGTAAAGATTTCAAACTCTTCTTTCGGGTCTAATTTTGGTTCTTCTGGAATTGGCTCCTTTTCATTTAAACCTGCATCTTTTTCATCCGGGTCTATATCTTTTTCATCTAAAGTTGTTGTATCCTTTTCGGTTGAAAATGCCTCTTGATCATCATCAATGTTTTGTGTAGAGCTGTCCGATTTTTGATTTAAATCTAAATTTGGTTCTTTTACTATTTCATTATGTTCATTATCATGATCAATTACAGTTGTAGTTGCAGTCAAAATTGGAATAGCAGTATCAGGAACAATTGAAGCAGCTTTATTATCACCAATTTTTTCTTCCACACTTTCATTATCATAATCACCATCTCTCTTTTCTGTTTCAGTCAACAAACTTTCTGTTGCTTGTTTTGAATCATTGATTGTTTCTTGTTTACTTGAAAATAGTATTTTACCCTCATCATCTTGATTTTTATTATCTTCATTAATATCATTATCAGTTAAAGTACCAGTAGTTGCAGCTTCATCATTATTGTTATCATTATCCTCTTCAGTGTCACCACCACCAGCAGTACTACTAGTAACATCAACAGGTTTCCATCTAGCCTTTTCTACAATGAATTTGTTAACTTCATCAATTAAATCATTCAATGATTCCAGGAACATATTGATCCTCCCAATTAGCACGTGGTTGTAATACTGATAAGTCTAACTGTCTTGCTGATGATTTTGATTGTAGTTCAGCAAACTTCTTGGTTAACTTTTTAAAAGCATCATGTAAACGTTTCTGATCAACAACATCATCACATTTTGATGACTTGATATCTTCTACCAATTTCTCAATACCTTCCTTGATTCGATTAATGTCCTCCAAATTAACTTTAGAATTCTCAGCTAAAAATTCTTCATGTTCTTTCAACAGATCTTTAACTTGTTCCTCTGTATGTAAACATTCGGTTGCTAAAGGATCAACCTTATGTTCCTCAAGTATTGACAATCTTTTATCAACCCAATCTTGTAGGTTGG